GCCTGTGTAATTGATTTATGTGGCCCGCGATTAATCTTTCAATATTAGCTACTAAGTCAGAATAGATTGGCTGAAAATTCTAACACCTAAAAAAAAGGATCAACAATTCACTGTGCATTTAGAGTTAATCCTCCATTACAAATCTCTTAAGTACAGCGTAGAACATTGATAAAGCATGATAATGTGAAAAATGTATCTGTAATCTCTATGTACAATTTAGTCTCTACGGTGTGACACCACAATGAGATCTCGCACCACCTCAAAATCTTCTTAGGGCAGCCTCCGGTTTGGCCCATGAAAAAACTTCTCTTTCCAATTTGGCCCGGGGGGCAAAAACTGTTAGCCACCCCAGAACTACACAATCATTACTTTTGAAATAAGCCTTTACCATAAAGGTATGTTGTTCTACATTCCAGTTTTCCATGTCAAANTTCAGGTGTCACCTTACTCATCAACTACCCTTTTTCTCTTATCTCATAAAATATAGCTAGGTTTCAGATTTGGCTATAGCAGATGGAGATATTTGAGGGCTCTACAATACTAGGTTTGGGGAACTTACTACTTTTTGGTCTACTTTAAAGATATTGATAATTTGGAGTACAGTGGTGCCTCGTATAACGTACTTAATCCGTTCCAGGTGCACGTCTGTTAAGTGAAAAGTCCGTCATACGAAATGCATTTTACCATAGAATTACATGTTAAAACATAATTTGTTCCGCAGCATAAAATAACCGTACTGTTCCATAAAAAAAAAAAAAAATGAAAATGGAGCAGTCACCGATTATGCCGGGTAGTTAGATGTGAGGAGGAGGTGGAGGAACACTTTGTTTACACATTCATACAGATACAGACTTTTTACACATTGCAGCAGATCTCTTTTTATTATTTTTTAATCGGAGTCAGATTCAGGAGAGGCTACCGGAGCTTGCAGGGTCATCTCCTCTTGCTCCATCATTTGTTTTTTTGGCAGCTTGCTTCTTGAAAAACATGTCCAAGATGGTCTATTTCTCTCTCTTCTTCAACACCTGTCGGAAATGACAGGCAAGAATGTCATTGTAGAGATCATTGATCCTGTTGGCCTTAGCTCTGTTTGGATAATGAGTGTTGGTAAACTCCTTAACCTCGCCCCATTTGACAAGAAAGTTTTTGTCAACTTCTCCTTCTGATGATTTCTTGTTTTGTTTCAATTAAAATCACCTTTCTGTTATTTTAGAAGCCAATGATTTGCACAACACTTGAATAAATATAAATATTCTGCATTGAGGTGATGTACGTAATAAACAAGGGAGCAAGCCGAATCCCAATGGGAGCTCTGTACTTTAGATATACTAATAATATATTCTAATAATACTAATATATTATAAAAATAGCAGATTGCCTGGCAATGGCAAAAGAGTGGAAATATCATTCACACTTGTTCACANGCATAAAAAAATCCAGACTTGTAGGTAGTTAGGGGACTAATTGGCCCGGGGGGCAAAAACTGTTAGCCACCCCAGAACTACACAATCATTACTTTTGAAATAAGCCTTTACCATAAAGGTATGTTGTTCTACATTCCAGTTTTCCATGTCAAACAACATCTCAATGATAATAGAATGAAACTGTCATCTAACACATGATGTTAACTTCACTCATAATTTGCATATCAATACATGTTATGCATGGTTGCACTCTATAGTTATGTGATTATACATCACATTATACTGATTATATGGAAAATATTTTTTATTTAATTATGTACAACTAGCAGACCCTGCCACGCGTTGTTGTGGCTCAAAATGTATCTATTATAAATTTATAACACTTCCCCATTGGGGGGGNGATGGCAGAAAGTTTGTTGTTCACCTCACGTAACTGCCAAACGGAAAGTCCGTTGTTTGCAGCCAGTCCGTTGCTTGAGTCACATAACGGCCAAATAGAAAGTCCATTGTTCGCAGCATCCATTATTCGAGGTGTACCTTATATGAGGCACCACTGTATATTTAGACAATTCTGCTTTATTTTTTACTAGCAGACCCTGCCACGCGTTGTTGTGGCTCAAAATGTATCTATTATAAATGTATAACACTTCCCCTGTGGGGGGGGAAATTTTTCGAAAAATTTCTTCTTAGTGTACATTCTCTTGACATACCCTATTAAAACGCAATCAAAAATGCAAAAAACCGCATCTAAAATAGTATAAATAGCAGCAGAGTTCTTTACGGTAAGCCTTAATCTTGTCCATCTCCTCCCAGTGGGGGGAATTTCGACATGTATATTATATAAAAACACGTGCGTATTCGAATGCAACGTTGTGTCAAAATTTCAAAGGAATCGGTAGGAACAAACAAACATTACATTTTTATTTATATAAATAGAAGATGATCTGCTTTAGTTCATTTTCACAGAAAAGCAAACTTAGGGCGTCATACTCGTAGCGCCATCTGTTGGACATAAAAGCCTTAACTTAGATTATATATTTTAATTTATGTGAATGTTTAACAGAATAATATACAGCCTATGTCCACCCTGAGGTTCCATTCTAAATATTAGTGAAAGAATTTTTGAAATCGGATGAGTAGTTTCAGAGATTACCTGCTGCATACAAACTTACATACATACATACATACATACAAACATTACCTCTTTATAATATTAGTATAGATTGTTTTTATTTGTGTAATTAAAAAGTAATGTAATTAAAAATACAGTAGCATTCTAATTATCCAAGCTAATGCAGACTGAGAATAACTTAGATAAATGAAATATTTTGGTACAAAGTGATTGATTTTACAACAATATTTTTGTATTTTGTTAAAATTAAAGAAATTTTAATTGTATCATGAATCTCTTTTAAAATGTATATTATTGTGAGAAGTCACTGTAGTAAATTCTTTTTAAAACTGCATGCTTCTCAAAAAGAGCTCTAGAATTGTTCAGCCAAGATTTGTGAAATGAACTGTACTGTATTATGTATTCATGTTTTTTTCACAAAGTACTCTTCCATAATTCATCTCTGATAATACAGTAGGTGAAGTAAATCTTGGTTAATCAGGACTCTATTGTATGTGTGTGTATGTGTGTACTGCAAGTCAAAAAATTATCCATCCATACTAAAGATCATATATTGTTTGTGTATACAATACAGAATAAACTTATGATTGAAATTTAACAAAAATAGTTAATAAATTTAGTTTATTATTTAAGTTAGAGAGTAACAGTTCTAAATAATAATTTTTTTCCTCCACAATAAAAAAATAGACTAGAATTGTAGACAAAAATACTAGGTGTTTGTCCACTTGTTACAATTAAAGAAAAGAAATAAGAAATAATAAAATCATAGTTTTTTAAATTTTGTAGGGCATCATTTTTTTTAATTACTGCCTGACATTATAATGCTTGGTTTTATTGATGAAAAATCATAGTTTCTTCTTGGGAGATTCTGTTTCAACTCTCCAATTACAAATTTTTCAGCTCGTTTTTATTTTTAAGAGCATGATTTTGAATTTTTTTTCTATCATATAACCCATAAATGTTCAATATGGTGTGGGAATTGTGCAACCCACCCCAACACTTCACCTTCTTTTCTTTTTAAGTATGCATTCACTGATTTTGCAGTATGTTTTGGATCATTATCATGTTGGAAAATAAATTTACAACCCAGCTTCAAGTTTTTTACTGATTCTGGTACTCCTTTGGCAAAAATATCTTTATAAGAAGTGTTGATTCATTGTTTGATCATAAAATTAATTCACTTGTGCTATGCATTCCCAGACCATCCAATTCCTTTCACCGTGTTTTACAGTGGGCTTCAGACATTCTAGTTTATATTCTTTATTAGGTGATTTTCACATTTTAATGCATCCATCTGAGCCAAATAAATTAAATTCACTTTTGCTTAACCATAAAGTACTGTCAATCTTTTTTTCTCTACATGTTAATTTGCTCATTCTATGCACTTTTTCTGATTGATGATAGAAATGAAAGGTTTCACCTTGGTATTCTGCATAAAAATCTGCTTCATGTAAGCAATTACATATAATGTGTGGCATAACAAACACATTCAATTCATTTAGACTTCTTCAACTATTCTTACAGCTGACTTTTTTCTTTCTGTTGGCCTTGCCCTGATTGATTTATGACATTCTTATGCTTTTGAAATTTGTCTATTATGTATTGAACACTGGTACGTCACATTTTTAATTGCGATTTACTATTTAATTGAAATTTTTCTTCAGCTTAAACCAGTCTTCCAACAACAAATATCCCAATCTTAGATTAGTTGAATATTCTTTGGGTTTTTGATGAACCTGTTCACTAAATCAAAGTTTGCATGTTAATTGGTATAATCTTTAATAGAATGAATATAATAAACTAATATTAATTGAAATGCTATTGTTGTCCCCCTTTTTTTTAATTGACTTTTAACTGGGCAGATTATTTGAATATTTATGCAAATTAGAATTATCTGTCCAGTTAAAATTATTGTCATATATATATATATATCAATACAAAATTCATTATTTCTACTTATAATTTTTAAATGTAGATTATCTTGTGAAAACATATCTATATAAAACAATTTTAGTTAAATAAAAACTGTATTAAATGTTGTATTGATGTTAATTGTAACATCAACTATAAAAATAATTTTAAAAATAACATATCTTAGCTTTCTTCTAATAATTAAATTATTATATTTAAAATTTTTTACAACTAATTTAGCAATGAAAACTTCATTAGATAATATCTTAATAGTAGATAAACATTAAATGTTAAAGTTTATAGTTAAATGTTAGTTTTGGACACTTAATTAAATTTTCATAATAGAAAAGAGTGTTGATTTTACTGAATGTAAACTATCTTAATGAAAAAGTAAAAATTTGATTTCTGTAAGAAAGATAATCTTATTATAGTTTCTTATATTAGTAATTAATTTAAAGCTTTTAATTAAATTTTAATTATTAATGTTTTAGAATATTTGATTATTAATAAATAAATCATGTATTTTTCTATAGTATTATTAAGTGAAGCAATTGAAAATGGTGATTTAAGTAACAAAACATTAAAAATTACTGATTTTGGTTTGGCACGAGAAGTCTACAAAACAACCCGTATGTCTGCAGCAGGTACTTATGCATGGATGGCACCAGAAGTTATTAAAACATCAACATTTTCAAAAGGAAGTGATGTCTGGAGGTATAGTAATCTTTTAAAGTTTAAAAAATTTTATGTAAATAAATTAATTATTTTGAATATTTATAGGTCTGCAATTTGAAAAAATTGTAGACCTGTAAATTTCCACTGTTGTCTGTCTGTCCTTCCTTCCTTAATCTTAGGAACAGAGTTAGATAGATGAAATTTAAGACCAGATATGGAAAGCTTAGGGGCAGGAGGCCCCAATTAACTATATATGAACTTCTGGTTTGTACCAGAAATCATATTATTAAAAAAAAAATTCTGGAATGAGTTAGATAGGTGACCAGCAGGAAAGTATGATGTACAGGGCAAGCCATTACTAATTTGAGGTGGAGAGCATATATTTTAAATTAAATAAGTTAAAAATATGATTAAAATTGCAGCCCAGTCTTGTGGCAATGTCAAAATAAATAAGTATAATGACATAACAAGCAATTAATTAATTATTTTAGTCATATGAAATTCATATTGTAACATAAGTAGATTGGTGATTTGCTTTTTGTTCTTTAGTCATCTTGTAATATCATAAACTGGATAGTTCTAAATTCATTAGCAGAACTAAAGCATAAAATTCCAGCAGAAAAATTTTTAATTACAAAATTCTTTTGGCCTTGATTAAAGGCTTTCATAAGGCTACATAGAATCAAATTACTAAACTGCTTAAGGCTTTCAGTAGAACATATTACAAAATTAAAACTTTTCAAAAGCAATGTTTTAAAAAAGTAATGATTGAACATTTAAATATAAAATAAATAATTAAATTTATAATAGTCTAAACAGCCTTCCAAGTAAATGCATACTATAAGTTATAGCAACTTTAAACAAAGTCTGTACTATTTTATAAATTGGAAATCCTATCATCTATGTGATTGTTACAGAATCTTATACTGTATATTGACTTCATGTGTTGAATGTATTCTGTTGATTTTAGAAGACAAATTTATTTCCAGGTGTTCTAATTTCTTTTCTTCTTTGGGTTTTAAGATAATCTGATCAATGATCAGGTTATCTTGGATGCAAGTTGATTTGTATCTCCAGTATTTTTGCAAACATTAACATGGTAACTTCGATGCCCTTCCTTATGTTTCTCTCATGTTCTCTTATGTGTGCATTTAATGACCTGTTTGTTGCTTCTGTCTTTGTTGTTTTTATTGAAATCTTTATGTCCTGGGATTCGAGAGGAGCTCTGTTTACCCTTATCATTCTGTAATAGTTAACAGATGATGGGTTTTGTTAGGAAACTAATATACAGTCATTTGCTACAAACAATCTCTCTATATATGCTTTTGAGTGTTAAGTTATAATTAATTACTCTGGTATTACAAGGGTAGGCTGAAAAGTAATGCACAAATGCTTGTAGAACAAAAATAAATATCAAGATCGGGAAAAAAGTACATTAAACTACAATTCTTAAGCTTCAAAATCATATATTTATTTTTCAACAGTCACCATTAAGGCTAACACATTTCTCCCAATGTGTAACAAATTTTTTTCATTCCGTCACTGAAAAATTCTTCTGACTTTTCTCGAATCCAGGACTTGACAGCTGCCTTCACCTCATTGTCTGAGGTGTAATGATTACCTTGAGGTCTCTCCTGAGTAGAGGGAAAAAAATAAAAATCACAAGGTGCAAGATCGGGGGAATAAGGAGGGCATAGAATCAGTTCAAACTTCAGGTTTCGCAGAACCTCTCCAGTTGCACGCTAGGTGTGTGGATGAGCATTGTCATGTTGCAAGATTATTGGCACCAGGCTGCCTCTAACACATCAAATAATCGCCTGGTGACAATAATCTTGCAACATGACAATGCTTGTCCACATACCTAGTGCGCAACTGGAGAGGTTCTGCGAAACCTGAAGTTTGAACTGATTCTATGCCCTCCTTATTCCCCTGATCTTGGGCCTTGCGATTTTTATTTTTTTTCCCTCTACTCAGGAGAGACCTCAAGGTAATCATTACACCTCGGACAATGAGGTGAAGGTAGCTGTCAAGTCCTGGATTCGAGAAAAGTCAGAAGAATTTTTCAGTGACGGAATGAAAAAATTTGTTACACGTTGGGAGAAATGTGTTAGCCTTAATGGTGACTATGTTGAAAAATAAATATATGATTTTGAAGCTTAAGAATTGTAGTTTAATGTACTTTTTGCCCAATCTTGATATTTGCTTTTGTTCGTGTTCTACAAGCATGTGTGCATTACTTTTCAGCCTACCCTCGTATTTGCTTTTAGTTTGCATTTTTGTTCAAAATCCCTGTTACTGTAATTTTTAATTAGTTCTTTGATTAACTTTGATGGGTAGTCATTCTAAATTGCAGTTTCTTTAATGTACTTTTCCTGGGAGGTCTTGATTAAACTTGAATAATGCATGAATACAAGTCTTAGTAGGTCTGTGAATGCTGAGATCTTAATGTGATAATAGTCCATATAGTCTATAACTCAAACTGAAGTTAAAAGAGCCATAAAAGGATAATTCCAGAAAAGATATCAATAACACTTGAGAATAATTATATTACCATGGAAGTATACAGGAAACCAGAACCCTTTTTTGCTTCCCGGCAGTAATAATACTGCCAGGATGCAAAAAAAGGTTTTGCTTTTCTTTCAACTGTAAGAACTCAGCATTCATCAATGTAAAAGAAGTAAAAAAATACATAAATAATTAAATTCCAATATTTTAAAATAATTAAATTAATATAAGATATTTTTGGTTTTATAGTTATGGAGTGGTACTCTGGGAACTTCTTACTGGAGAAACACCCTACAAAGGAATTGATGCTCTTGCTGTAGCGTATGGAGTAGCTGTAAATAAATTAACTCTTCCAATTCCTTCTACATGTCCAACTGCTTTCTCTAGATTAATGAAAGGTGAAATTTTTATATTATATGTAATAGAATAAAACCTTTCAAAAATACAAAATATAATATAATAATAGTAATTATGAGAATATCAAAGAAAAATATTTAATCAAATGTGTTTATCAAAGTTTGAAAAAAGATATTGATAGCACAATGATAATAGCTTGCATAAAAAATGAGAAAATCTTAGAATAGTTAAGAAATTTTGTTTGCATGAAAAGTCAGAGAATTTTGAAAATTCTTTTAAAAATTAATGAAATTTTCAATTTTTTCCATCATTGAAATTTTAGTTCTAGTACAGGGTGGCAAACCTGTGACATATTAGGAGAAATTGTCTGGCATGTAATGGATCATGCAACCTGTTTCTTTCAATTGTCCTTTTGATTTATCACTCAATCATCCTTTTTTCAATCAACTTCTTTACATTTATTCTA